TGCCTCCATTGTTTAGCCTTTTCTCAAAAAATTATAGTCTGTCTTCATATTGCACTTTCAAAACAGGGTGAAGTTGCAGAATTTGAACACACCTCCATGCAATTTGTCTTTTGAACCTCCCTTGCACCTTGATAATTATTTATATTGACCTTTTTTGTAACTTTTAATATAAGATTTCCCTCTCTCCCTTGGTCTTAACTAATTTTTCTTGTACTGCATGTTTGGCAGGGGTTTTAATTACCATGTGTTTTGTCATGAATTCTATTTTCAATGGTTATTTTCCCCTTGTCTTTCTCCTAAAATTTGGGATTTATTCTTAAAGCTTAAAGTTTGTAAATATATCAGATCTTATAAGTCAAATATTTGATTGAGTATGTTCCTGTTCAATAAAACCACTCTTTAGTTATTTGTCTCTGGCATTTTTAAACACAAAACATCACCATATTGCAGCTAAAGTGTAAGATATATCACTTTTCATACAACTTTGCATCTAGTTACATCTAGTTTTTACAATGAAATGCTAAAAAGGTTGGGTCATTGAAAATTTTAATGCTTACAAATGTTTTATTGCCCCAGACACATTTTAACTGCAAAATGACTAATATTTCATAGCTAAAAATGAACCTTTTCCTCTCTTTTTATATTTCTCTTCTAGCCCTATTTCAATGAATGTTGTAAGTAAAAAAATAACAAAATGCTAACAATTAGCATAATCCATAACAAACACACACAATGATACAGCTGACAAAAAAATGGAAAGATGATACACCACTTACACTGGTTCTTATCTTTTCAGTTATGTTAGAAAAATCACCTTTGGCATCTCACAGCAACAATAAAAAAGTGTTACCCCTTGTAAGTATTCTAATAATATCTACTAAACTTTTATAGGAGAGTAAGACCATTTCATTTGCAGTCACAACAACATATCAGTTCCTTTGCAGTCACACAGACACCTGAATCTATTTCTGTAAGTCTGTTTACACGATCTTGTACTCCAGTTCTGAGATGCCAACAGGGCAGTTGCCGTCTTCATCATAGTCGCACCACTCCTCATCAAGGTCCAGGTCGAGGAAGGGGGTCCCACTCTCACTGCCTTTGCACTGCCATCCTTTCTATGGATGGAGGATACGAGTGTTAATCCTATGAATGATGATGCCTTACTTTCATACATGACTAAATATAAATAAGAGTGAAATCATTTTCAAATCTGTCTGGAAAACTAAACATGGAAAAAACACACAAACACAAACACACACACACACACACACACACATGCACACACACTCTCACACCACACACACACATGCACACACACTCTCACACACACACACACACCACACACTCTCACACACACACACCACACTCTCACACACACACACACACACTCTCACACACACACACACACACACACACACACACACACACACACACACACACACACACACACACACACACACACACACCACATCACACACACACAATAATAATAACAACAATAATGATAATAATAATAATAATAAAATAATAATACACCAGTAGTGAGTATCTCACACTTACTCCGAATTTGAAGTTGACCACACTCATTCCTCGGCATTCAAAGGCTATGACCTCCTTCATTTTGGGGACGTCATCTGCTGTGTACAACTTTTTCTTCTGAACGAGGACGTCTGCAAGCAGAAGATGGCAGGAAACATACACATGGCCACAGGCTCTCTCCTGTGTTCTCTTTGTTCTTCTTGACATCATTTAGTTGGTTGAATTCACTTTCATTTATTCAGTTAATTTCATTCTAACTTCAATCTAGTTTAATTATACAGAGATAGTATAGACAGAGGATAAATTGACAGACAGATAGATAGAGGATAGATAGATAGATAAGAGGATAGATAGACAGAAAGATGGACAGATAAAGACAAATATATAGATAGATAGAGAGATAGGTAGATAGGCAAATATATATATACACAGATAAAGTGCATATAAATATTTGATACTCTCGTTAATTCTAATCCATTTAGAAGCTTTCTAGCTATCAGTAGTACATCTTCAACATCTCAAAAATGTTCACTCACCCATTGTGTTAACTCTGTTGCATAGCTTGCACTTGTAGAGCATGTTGCAAGTGCCCCGTGACCCTGGCATTTCCACCTGCTCGTCCCCTGACACGTACTGCCACTTCTCACTCACTTCGTTGCATGTGTTGCACTGAGTCTGTCGGACCAAACAACATAGAAGCATCGATCTACTACAACAACAACAACAAATACAATAACAACTGCTGCAAGAACGACCAAAAATTATGATTTATCAGTATCACCTAGTCTCTCTACCTTTCACTTGCACAAAGAAATTTATCTATTCATACCTTAATGCAATACTGGAAGTCTTCTCCCGGGGCCTCCAAATCGGTCACATTTTCAAACTGGGCTTTTATGGCTACCTTGTACACCTGTTCGTAGAGGGGGAGAAAATAATTATTAACAGACAAGATTGTTTATTTAGATATATGTGGCCATCTCCGCAAGCGAATTATCAATTTTTTATTGCTATCAGCACTATGAACAACATTACAATACTACTACTACTACTAATAATAATAATAATAATTAATAACAATAACAATATCAATAAATAATAATAATGCTAATACTAAAACTAATAATAAAGATAATAATCATAATGCAAGGTCAAGTAGGCCTACATTTAATATTTGACTAGGTATTTGTGAAGTCAATGGGTAATAATGGAAAGAAGTTGTAACAGTAATAATAACAGTTATAATGTGCCTATATAAGTTCTGAATCAATAGCTATAGTAATAACAATAACAACAATCATAACAATAATATTAATAATAAATAATAATAATAATAATAATAATATAATAATACAATATAATAACAATAAAATAAGAATAACAATAACAATAACAACAACAACAACAACAACAACAATAATAATAATAATAGTGATAATGATAACAAGATAATGGTACTGAGAGCGATGTGTGGAGATAGAAGGAATAGACATCGCCATCTTATAGATCGTTAGAAATAGAGCAAGAAACAACATAGGTACAGCTGCAGTGGCTTCATATTCACCACTAAATGATGAAAATATTCCCTGCACATCACCACTCAGATATATAAGTCCACAATACCCTCACACAGCGAATGTCCATTTTCTATAAGTTGATTGAGTGCTAATAAATGAGGGGGGGAGGGGAGCTTTCCCTCCTGTCTAAAGAATAAATATAAAGTAGGAAACGCTAGGTTGGGTTTTTAGATACTCGTGATACCCTGGTGTTGCTCTCAGTAATAATTAACAAAAACAATAATATCAATGGTATTCATAATCATAACAATAGTGATCATTATAATTATAATAATCATAACTATAATTAATTTTAAACTATAATAATTATAACTAATAATCATAATGAAATATAATAATAATAATAATAATAATAATAATAATAATAATAATAATAATAATAATAATAATAATGATAATAATAATAATAATAACAATCATAATCATGATTATAACAGTTATGATGATTATGATAATCATAATAATTATAATAATCATAATAATTATAAAAAAGACAATAATGATAATAATGACAGGAAGAAAGATGAAAATGACAGTAATCATAACTATTACAGTACTGATATGTTAACCATATCAATAACCATAATCATAGCAACCAAAATAATAACATATTAAAAACAACACAAGGGAGTCTGTATTAATATCCTGAGCTGTACTTGTATTTTTCACAATATAACTCTAAATACTATAAATATTCAAAGTAACTCATCTACACCTGTAATATCTATCAACTTTTTGTCCGTCAAGTCGAATTAGTTCAGAATTCTCTCGAAATATTTCGTATGCCGAGGTAACGTTGGCTTATAAATTTAGCCTTTTATCGCACATTGCCTAACTGTCAGAGGTTGATTTAATGTTATATTTGGTCAGTGATAGAAAATACACTTACCGGCATATTGGACCTAGTAGAAGGGAAGAAGGAGGGTTGAGTTTGAGAGATAAATAAGTGTGGAATCGGTATTTCTCTGTCACCACAAGGGGCTTTGCTGTCGGGAAAACACGTCGGGTTCTTTCCTAAAGATGGGGTTTTGGCCCGGTTTCCTTTGAAAAGCTCATGCTCCGGAATATTCTAAGTATGCGATACTGTTATTGGTATTAGTACTATCATGATTGCTTTTTATATTTCTTTATTTTCATAACCATATGACAGTGATACTCTATGTAACATGTTGATCCCGCCTTGATTATGATCTCTTCATCATTAACAGTCTCTTTGTCGTTTAATATCATTTTAAGTATCGCTATATATTATTAATTTTAATCACTAGTACTGAAGTCATACTGCCATCGTATTATAATCTATACAATAATGTAAGATATACAATAAGACCTTGCAAAGTTTCCATAAATTAATATACCATCATATTGAAATTATTGTCGTAACTTTCCATTTACGTTTCTCTCTTTGTTCCTAATAATCAAACATTGTTCTTTTCTTTTATTGCCAACAATTTATGCATTTCAGTATTTATATATATATATATATATATATATATATATATATATATATATATATATATATATATATATATATATATATATATATATACTATATATATTATATATATATATATATATTATATATTATATATAATATGATTCACACGCGCACACACAAAAAAAATATAGTGTGCACAAAAATGGAAAGGGAAATAGCTAAATAAGAAATGAATTAATTATATTCCTCATTGTGGTTGTCTTCCTTTTCATATTGCATGTCATTATAGGTATGTGTATACACATATGTGTGTGTATGTGTGTGATAAAAAAAACACTGGCATGGCATGGTAGATAAACCCAAAATGCACAAACTAGATTTATTGAAATAAGTGAGACAACAGTTTCGGAATTCTGGAATCCATCATGTCTGACGGAGAAAGGGAAAGAGAGGCAACTAGGTGAACACGGGCAGGTGAGGACAGAAAGGGAGGTCTGGTCAGGTCGAAGGATCAAGCGGTCTATGCGAAGGTGCCGGCACAGGGAGAAGGCGGAGATGTGGAAAGCGAGGAGACATTCGGGCAGGGAAAAGCTGCTGTTCAAGTTGAAATTAGGCAACAGCTTGATTAAGGAACATTTACACCAGACTGCAGAGGGCACCAGCGGAAGGGAAGTCAATTCGCGCAGCTGACCAATTCATCTGATGGCCTGTGTCGCACTGATGGCAGAAGAGGGCGTTGTTGTTGTGTCCTCTGGATGCAGCGTATTTATGTTGACAGACCCTTAGTGAGACTGGCGCCTGTCTCGCCAAATTACCGCTTATCACAGGAGGCACAAGGAGCAGCATAGGTGCGCGCCTTCGAAGAGGGAGGAAGGGAGGTGTGGACCAGGTTGCGACGGTGTTTTCACTTGACGAAAGGCGTCTGCATTGAGAGGGTGAAGAAGGCAACGGAGAGAGACCTCTCAGTGTAGGCAGGTGGAGGGGTCTCTTCTGGAGAGGACGCTGTAGAAGGTACGCCGCGCCTGGATAACGCGACCGAGAACATGGCAATGCAGTATCCCAGTTTTGGAGAATGAACGACGAAGGAAATCGATCTCTCCATCAGGTATAGGGTCAAGATGCGGAGGGCAAGGAGGGCAGCGAGGTTGCAAAACATGGATGGAAAGATCGATTTCTACGTCGTTCATTCTCCACTGGGTACCCTCACCACGTTCTCGACGTCGTGTTATCCAGAGCGCGGCCTATGTATATGCTTATATATAGATAAATAAATAAATACATACATAATATAAATATGTATACATAATCTATTATTACATATTTTAATATATATATATATATATATTATATATTATATATATATATATGTATATTATATATATATATATTATATATATTATATTATATATGTATATTATATATATATATAGTATATTATATATATATATATATATATATGTTATTACATATTATATTATATATATATATATATATATATGTATATATATAATATATTTAT